AGGATATTGGTTCCTTGGGATGGCTGGCTAGGAATTAGGCCTGGCAGCTTTAAACAGGGATGAAACCTGGGTGTTTCTAATCCTTCCAGCTTTGGGCCAGGGTTGAGGTTTGCAGCCTCTTGCTCCCAGTGGAGCTGTGTGACCCAAACTACCTACAGCCCAGGCCTAGACGTCACCAGTTGGGCCAGCTGTAGTTAATAATTAACTTGGCTCTCCAAATTCATCCTGCAGGTTTAGTTTCAGCAGACCACATAATCCAGCCCAGAAGTTTTGGGGTATGTGCATGCTGACTGGAGCCGCAGTCGCTCCCTGTCCCCCACCACACACAAAACCCTCTCCATAGGAGCAAAGATTGGCACTCTACCACTTCTCCAGGAGCAATGGAGCCCCTTGCAATGGAGAAGGACCCATGCTCTTAAGCAGCTCCCTGCAGCACAGCAAACCCAAGGAGTAGCTCATAGGATTATCTGGTGTAGGTCCCCATCTCCAGCCTATTGCTGAAGGGCAGGTATAGGGGTGCAGGCTCCTGGAACTACCTCCTTGGGGCTCCTAGAGCCCCAAGTCCCAGATAGTCTCCCCCAAGACAGAGCTACCTATAGACTTCGCTTTGTAGTTAACAGCATTTTAAAATTATATTTAGTGTTTTCTTTTGGTTTTTTGTTTTTATTCTCTGGAATAAATTTAGGTTTTTGTGTTTACACTGCTTGCAAGGAGGGGGTTTGGCCTATATGGGACGCCTCAGCAGATTTAGTGTTCCCAGATTTCTGGGTAGAGGCTCAAGCCACTGGTATAATTTATGGGGTATCCCAAAACATGAACCCAGCCTTTCTTGCTGCCAACTAGTACCTGGCAGAAGGGCTACACTGACAAGCATCATTTGTGGCACGAGTTGTCCCAAATGACTTGCCACTCATGGATAATTTTAACAGAAAAATTGAGACTACTGAAACATGAAAAGTACAAGCTATCTACTGGGGACACTGAACCTCAAAAAAGCTTCATTTGCCTAAGCAGCTTCACAGGCATATTGAAAGACAAATAGCAAGAACTCTTTTAAGAATCTGAGTCACAGAATCACTGAGTTAAAAGCTTCTCCTGGGCAGCCTATTCCACTGTTTTACTTAAGGTTTTGTTTTTTTTTTCCTGAGATCAAATCCTAATCTATTTTGTAGTAATTTACAACCATTGCTTCATGTCCTGCCCTCTGAGGCAAGGGGAAACCCTTGATCACCCTTTTCTTTATGGGAGCCTTTCAAGTGTTTGAAAACTGCAATCATGCCCCCTTAATCTCATTTTCTCCAAGCTAAACACATGTAACACTCGCAACCTCTCCTCATACAGCTTGCTTTCCAACCTATCATTTTTGGCACTCACCTTTATACCCTCTTCAACTTCTCCACATGCTTCTCAAAACCTGGAGCCGAGAACTGCATTCAATCATAGTCTGAATAGAGTAGTACTATCACTTTGCTTGTCTTCCAGTTAATATTCCTGTAAATTTGGTGCTAAATTATATTTGCTTTTTCTGCAACCATGTCACATTGCTGACTCATGTTGTCTATGATCCACCAAAACCTAATCCTCTAGGGAAAACTGTTTCAAAAAGATACTCAGGGTCAAAGTTGGGTCTGTATCAATGTGGACCAAACCAAGTTGATGAACTACAGGAAATAGTTTGCTTATTTACAAATAAAACTGAGGCCAGAGAATTTGCCAGCAGCCTAAATTTCAGCAAGTGTGTCACTGAACTCAAGCATCTCCTTTAAACTGCAAATCTAAATCTTACGGATGTTTTAATCTTAGCTGCTTTCTGTTTATATGATGCAGGAATGACTTCTAGAAATTTCACTGGGAGAGCAAGGAAGTTCTCTTAGGAGCCAACATTTCAAAAGGTGGTGTATATAAAAGGAAAAATCCAAGTCTGCATGCAGTTTAATTACAGTCAAGGAAAAACATCACTAGTAAAATCCTTCATCTTGCCTCTAAACAGCAGTTATAGAGTAGTTTAACCATAATATATGCTCCTTGCCCATTTCCTGAACACGGAACCGTATGCAACCATAGAAAAGCCAGCTGCAGCAGAACATGGTTATTAGTTTCCTGGTGGTTTGCAACCTGCCTAATTTACAGAAGGTTGCAGGCAGGTTGCAGAATTAAGGACAAGCCACTCAGCTCGTTAGTTGTCCAGTGCAGCTGATCAGAGAAGCAAAGAACATTGAAATAAAAGCCAATGCACACAATTGTAGTACCTCGGCTTCAGTTCTGTATACTCCATTTACTTCACAAAAACCTGTCTTCACAGGGGCAAGAGGAACCTAACACTGAAAAAGTATGAGTTTTATTGTTTCAGTAGTAGAACAGGGTTGTTGATCGTCACTAAATGCATCCATGTGTTGTCCCCAAAGGACAGTGTGAGTTCGTGCCCGGTGCGCTTTTGCCAATAAACACACAGGGGTGGAGGATCCAACTTCAGCTTCACTGTTTCCAGTCTGCGCAGAGAGGGGTGCTTGGCAATCGTTTGCAAAGCAAGCACCACCGGTTTCTACCTTTGGGTACCTTTTATACATATGTTTGCAAGTGTATCGCTCAGTGATTGGTTACAAGCCACTGACATAAGACGTTCTCTACTAGCATGTCTCTAAACCTATGTTTTAGCCATGTAATTCATTTGCATACATATATGTTTCATTAACAAACTTTTACCCTGCCCAGGGGTGTGATTTTTAGCATTAGAATGAGACCTTTTTCTGAACTTCTTGCTATCTTACAAGTGTCAGGGAGACATTATCCTGCTGGTGTTAGGGAGGCATTCCAGGAATCCTCTGCATCCCACACGCTGTGCTCTGCAAGCATCTCTTAACACACACATACCACACGCCTCCCAGCATCTGCAAGTTGCCTTAAGTATTCGGTCAGATATAGTTTGCAAAAGCTAGATATACCATAAAAAAGATTACATCACATGGGAGGCCTATTCAGTGGACTGGCATAACGTTGCAAGCCAATGTTGAAAAACATTGCACCAAGATAGCGTTATCAGCAGGGATCCAGGTTTTCTGTTTCCCATGGAAAAATGAAGTAAAATACAGATTTCCCCCCTGACCAGAGTAAAACACAGCTTTCTCATTTTAGCAGAGAAACACGTGGATTCTGCAGTTTTGCAACATGCCTTCTGTAGGCTGGCAGAGATCCAACCTGCAAGGGCCTGGGAGGGAGCCAGGGGAGGAAGGTCAGGCAGGAGGCATCATGTGCATGTACACACGGAGACATGCACATGGCCTCTAAGCAGCTCCCGCAGGTAAGTGGCGGTAAGGGATTGAGGCCTCTACAGAGAGGGAGTTCGGCAGGGCTGGGGCTGCTGCCTAGCCAGGCAGTGTATGGGACTAGGGGCCCCTAGCCACAATACACAGTCATAGGGCCCTGGCAGGGAGCGGGATGGGGCCACAGGCAGCTCATCCTGGAAGCAGGGGGTGGGACCGGCTCCCTGCTGCTGCATGCACTCTTGGGGAGACAAGACACCTCTCTAAGGCACAGCAGAGCTCGCAGCAGCAACCAGCTTTACTGCGCAGCCCCACTGTTCCCTGCAGTGCCAGGTCACACCCACTGGGTTGCAGAGGCCCCCAGGGGAGAGCGACATCGTAGGAACCCAAGACTGCAGCGCACAGCCTGAGCCAGTCCCACACACAGATATGGGGAGCATGGGCTGCCCCCCAGAATGCGCACAGCAGCAGGGAGCACCCCCCCCCCAGCCCCCAGCAGGCCCCAGGGGGGGGCGGGGGGCCCCCCCCCCCCCAGCCCACAGCAGGCAGCAGGGTGGCGAGGGGTGGGGGAGTGAGGCTCCACTCCACTCTGCTGCAGCAGCCAACACCTCCTGCCAAGGGCAGGGGGCTACGGACCCAAGTCCCTGGCCCCATAGCCTTGGCAGCCCTGGGAGGCGAAGGGCACAAGCAGAGCCAGAGGGGCTGTAGGGGGCCTTTCATTTTAATCATAGATTTTGGGGTTATCAGAGAATTTGCCATTTTTATTAGAGAATTTGCCTTTTTTAATCAAAAAAACCAGGATCCCTGGTCATCAGCAAATGTTGCAACACTATAAACATTTAAGTGTGTTATATTAGCCTGACGGACAGAATTCCTGTAAGCTCTATATATATAGGATTCTAATTAGTATAATCGACACATATACACAGGGCAGAGGGAGTTCGGATTCTCCATGATAAAAAATCCAAAAACCAAACGCCAAAATGTACAGGTATTTAGGTCTGATTTTACTGAGGCACTGGTAGGCTTCCAAGCATTGTGTTAAACTGATACCTATATACACACACACACCTCTCTATATATAGATATTGATATATCAATAGCAATATAATGGCATTTCATTTTAATCAGAGAATTTGAGATTTTTAAACAGAGAAAAATCGGGATCCCTGAATATACTATCAGCCTGCTACAAAATTCCCATGGCAGGAATAGACCACTTTGTTCCTCTCACTGCAAAACTCAAAATAACTAAGGGAAGAAATGAGGAGCTGGAGATACATTCACATACAAATGCACCTTTCTTCTATATAATAGTGTGAGCTGCTGAAATCTTTGCAAGAAATCCAGTTAATAAGGCATCTTTTATATAGTGAAGAGAATTTACAGTACATGCAGATCAGTGCAAGAACAGATTCTGTGGGGCACAATTTTATAAAGGCATACATGACATTCAGTCTTCATGTCTGCTTATTATAGGGTAACCTCAGCTGGAACGTTTAGAACTTATATACCCCAATGCCTCTTGCCAGCTCTGGGGGAGGTATGATTGTGCCATAAGATCTGTATACACCTTATTTCCTGGCTTTCAGGGAAGTTTTAGATATAGATGCATCTGACATTCTGGGAGGATAAGCAGCAGTGCTGGTCAGCCTTAACAGTGTGTTAAAGAAGGCCTGTGGCAATGAAAATACAGTTTGAACAGCAACTACATCATTTACTAGCATAACCTGGAATTACTTCGGAAGTCAGCAACACAGTCTTCAGAGAGAAAGAATCACAGGTGCTCAGCACCACTCTGGGAAAGGGGACAGAGTTAAACCAAGAAGCATCTTCATCTACCTGCAGAACAGAGCATTACATTATTCATTTGGTTTCCAAGTGAGCATTTTAAACACACTACAATTTTGTATTTGCACCTTGATGCATACCCCAAGCATTTATGTTGCGTACAACCACAGTATACCTTTAACAACTAATTAGAGCCCGCAAGTCAATTAAATATAAGTGACTAATTAAAACATTATGCAAAGAGTTCTACCAATCTCAACTTTGTTTTTTTTCCTTGTGCAAATAACATGGGTATAAGATGTATAGTCCTCCTCCCCCACTCCACAAGTTTTCATGCGCTGAAACTTACTTTGGCTAGTCTATAAGGTACAAATCTACCCTGCCTTCTATCTAATAATATGCAACAAGGTAAAAAAAAAAAAAAAAAGTAAGCAAGCTTTATTTATACACACCCAGTCAATACCTAAAAGGTTGCCTAATCTCATACATTCAAGTCTGAATACTTGTAATTAAAATCTTGATTCCAAAAAAGATAAGTGATGGAGTGAAAACTTAAGCAGTGTTAAAAAATTACAAGAGGTGTTAGTTTCCTCTTCAGTATTTAAAACCATGCTCCTATTTTACATATAGATAGTGGAGCTCAAATTTTAGCTAACTTTACTTACCAAGAAATTTAACTTTCAGCCATCAGTTTAGAGCCTCAACTCCTCAGTCACCCTGTAAAGGCTTAATTGGGCCAGGTGACAAGTCAGTCACCTGGAACATTTATCATCCTCCTCTCCAGAATCTTAGCATTAGAACAGTGGCTAGTCTCCCCAAGTTGACTGGAAAAAGTCTTCAAAATGTGAATACAACAGCACCATCATTTTAGTGGTGCAGCAATATCTGCCTACATTTGCAGAAACCTGAAAAAGGTCAGTGGTTTGAACTGCTCCATTCACTTTAGACGATTTATTTCTATGTCCAGTTATAAGTTAGGCATTGCTGAGAAAGTCAAAATATGAGACTGTTCTGCTCTAAGACTTATGCCAGTACCCAGATCCCAAATTCACAAACCCACCTTGGCATTGCTATAACTGTCTGCTCTTACAGCAGCAGAGTCATGATCATATTTTACCCTTCAGTACATTCTACTACAAGTACTATCTTCTGGCAATTTAGCAAAGCATCATTCCCTCTTCACAGCATATTAAACTCCACCCCTCTACTAGTCATGGAATAGTACTGTAATAGAAGCATGGTAACATAGCTATACTTAGCACTATAACTACTTAGTGGCATAAACTGCTTTGACCTTCTGAATATGCAAATAATTTGTGTTTTATATTTAAACATAGAATATTTTGCAGAAGTTTCCATAACCCCAAGCTGGGCAGTTTTCGTGGATTATCTGTGTCACAAATTAATAGTTTTTTTTGATAGGTTTTATGGATTATCTAATTTCACTTTCACAGAATAAAATTCACTTTCAGATTATTAAAGGAGCACAAGTGACATCTGATATGCAGAAATAGGAACACTGTACCTAAATTTATTCTAACACATGAGATTCACTCAAAAAAAAAAAAATATATTCAAGCAACACATTTCCTGCCAAAATTTTAAAGAAAGCCAAGTCACTGGAGTCACTGGCTAAACACCATGAAACAGATTTTGCTGAAGCAATTACGCATCTTTTGATGGCAACAGCCTCTCTCTCTACAGGTGCAGAGATTATTTTTCAATTCAGTTTATTCAGCTAGTAAATGACTAATGTATTTGAGGATGCAAAACTAATTGTAACAGAAACAGCATAAAACCTTCTTTCAATTTTCTTCTTCAAATCTATGAATAAAAAACAAGGAGCCACAGAAAGAAATCAACTATTGCTAAGACCTTGAACCAACTGTCTGGCCACAAACTGCAAATAAGGCTTTTTCTTCATCTAAATCCAATCTTTTAAAGAAAACAGGTTGTCTTCAGAAATAAACTTATTTAGCCAGGATGTAATGTACACTGAAATTCAAACCATTTTAAAAATTGAGAATTTAATTGAATTCCAATGTCCATCCAAATGCAAACAAATCACTAATCATCTGGAAAATAAGTGTACCATTTCTAACATAATGCAAATTTAGAAAAATAAAAATATAGAAGAGTAATCAATTACAAGAAAAAAAATTACAAATATAAAACAAGATTTACAGGAATTATTTAAAATAAAAGTTTAAAGCATGAAGGAATCATCTAGCAACTTTGGCATTTTTGGTAGTGGAAAATGTTATTTGCTTTACAGGTCAGAAGTTCAATGTGGAGCCCAGAGAATTATTATATGAGTGGATATTTTCATTCCATTTTAACTTTTTGATCTCCTAATAGATGTGATTAGTCATGTCAGTCTGAAGTCAAGCAGAAGGTAGGGCAGGGTAGCACCTTATAGACAGTCTACTGATAGCTTCTAAGTAGGTAGTTGCCTATAAAAACTCAGAAATATCTGGTTCAGAGAGGTATAAGGTGCCATCCTGCCCTAACTTCTACCTGTTTGAACAGAGGGAGTGGCTGCTACTTTGGAGGAAAAAGCATGATATTTAATATTATTTCTTATAAGATCTTGATTAAAATAACCAATTAGTCCAACTCTCTCTATAGTTATTGCTGCTCTAGTTCCTGCATACATGGAGCCTTTTTAACTAGAGCCACAGACATAATGGCTAGGGACAGAAGTTGTATATAAACCAGTATAAGTGATCTGTAACGCAACACAAGTTCAGTGTACATAAACTGCTTTCAAAATGCCACCCCCCTTCTAATACATACAATTATTTACCATTACTATCTAGAAAGGCCAAGTACTGCATGCAATAGGTTTTTAGAAAGTGTAAGTGCAGATTTTTCAAAGAACATTCATATACAGACTGTGAACTTTGTTTCAAAACCCAAACTATTAACAAATCTTTACCAGAATAGACCATATGTGCACCAGACACTGAACAATTAACATTTCCATTACTGAACAATTGCATTTAAAATAATCAAGACCCAAATGTTTGACTAAATAAGTAGGAACTAAGGATAGATGAATAAAATCCACTAAATACAGGGTCCCTAGAGGGGCCTTAGCAAAGAAGCGTTTCTGTTCAGTGATGCCCAGATATCCGACAGTGGAGATCCTCATTCTTGTAATGGATCAATCGTGCATGGGACATTTAGACGCTACCAGTTAAACTACTGGTTAACTGCTCCAGGGAAAAAAAACTTCATATATAGAGCAAGCTTTACAACAGAAACAAGCTTCCTCTGACTAGCACACAGAAATCTTCAAATGAAGCAACAGAAACCTGGCTCTGCACTGCATCATACATACAAATAAGAACTACGAAAAATAAAATCAGGTTAAAATTACTAAGATCAGTTCAAGATGACAAAAAATGAACACCTTTGAAAAAGAAAATCTCACACATTAAAGAGTTATGTAAATCTCAAGCTAAGGTTTGATGAACAATTTGACAGCCAACCTATCCATGTATTTCCATCATTGATAAAAAGTAAATATTAGTACACAACATCATTTTGATCATTTTAATCTTTCAGTATTCAATTCAAACTACGTTAAAGCTACCCTACTTTAACAGGTGACAAAGTTCTTTGTATATACTTATTGTTAACATTTTAAACCTTAATACTTAAATATACTTTAATATGATATTCAATTGTTTATTAGGACAAGAATTGTTTCAATTTTTATATAAACACAATTATACGGTCTGATTAAAAGTTGTTTAGTTAGATATACTAAACAATTATATGAAATACTAACCATGTTTGCAGTTCAAAGAAATTATACCAATTTGGATATATCCACAAAATGGCTATAAGAAAATTTTGCATGAGTTTGCATATATTTCCAACTAGTTTTAATTGTTAAAAATATTTTATTTTGGACTATATACAACTGTATGAAAAGCCTCATTTTCTGCCAACTCAGCTATGCATGAATAAGGAGTTTTATTCTACATGCATAATTCTGTTCTTAGGTTGGATCATTCATCTCCTATAAACTGTAGTTCCCAAGTAAGAGACAAGGATTTTTGTGGGTGATATCCTTTACTGCATGTTTGGGACAAAGTTGTATTTACTTTGAGGGACAGAGTTAAGACTGATGGGATGCTGGTCATTTTTTTTCCCCCCTGACTTAATTATATATTTCGGAGGTTAATGCTGAGGTAAAATATACAGAATTAACTCACTATTTCCAGGATATTTTATTATTCTCTTACACTGTATTGGGCAACTTTTAAGTTTCGGGTTTTTTTCCCAATTAGATTAAGTAAAGATTGCTTTGGTAAGATAAATGTGTTTGTATTGCATTAACGTTCATTTTGTTTTAAACATCCAGTGTATTTAAAGACAGAAAACCTGTAACAACTGTGTATTAAAATCCATCAATTGCTATTGACTGAAGAACAGGCAAGTTAAGTACATTTGAAAGTTTAATTTAAACAAACACAGTTGTACTTTTTTCACTGTGTGCAGTTTCAGACTCATGCGTTAAATAAGCATCTACCTGGAACTTGCGTTCAGTCCCTTCTGAAGGAATAAAAGCAAAGCAAACTACAATTAATGTATTAATGACTAGTTACTTTTGTTTTAATAACCTTGAAACTTAAGACCACATTCCAGAGTCAACTGAAATGCAAATTTTAATATATTTATATAAAAAGTGAACATCCTGAAAAAATTGTTCAAGCATGAGATCTCATAGTTACAAATACAGGTAAGCCTCACTTAACATCATGCCAGTTAACATTGTGTTATTACATGGCTGATCTTTTAGAGAACATACTCATTTAACGTCACGCAATATTCAGTTATAACATTGTTTGGCCGCCACCGCCTGCTCATAGGTAAATCCTGTGACGTAATTGGATTCACTTAACATCATTTCGGTTAAAGTTGCATTTTTCAAGAATGTAACTATGATGTTAAGCGAGGAGTAGCTGTAGGACAGATTAAAAAACAGCTCCACTTTTTTTTCCTGAGGCCATCCATCAGAAATTTCAAGACAAAAAGGA